TTGCACGCATGTGCACATATGTGGGCAGAAGATGTGTGTACATAATGGTTGGTTTGTGCTGGTGTTTGCAAAAATGTTTGAAAGGACTCCAAATCAAGGCTTGCCCCGTTTTCCTTGCTCAACAGATCCATGGCGTGGTTGCACGTGCGCTGCGGCTGGTAATGCAGTCGCTCAACGGTTCCATGCGTTCGATCAAAAATAATGCATAAACTAACAGACTGTGTGTGCACTCAGACTCCACAACCCAGCCAACCACAGCTATGGAAGGCGGCGCAAAGACAACTGCCATGAACTGCCAACTGCAATGATTTGTGACTATTTTCCTTGTTGACTCAAAAGCACTTGGAGGATGTTTGCAGATCCTTCAATCGATGTTGGTTTTCAATATGTTTTATAGCGACGAAGTGAAAGATAAGAATGACCGTTTGGGACCGTGCGGGGATAAAGAGAGAGACCGGGATTGCACGCGGTTCCCACGCATTCTAACTGTTGAAGCTAGAATGCATCCATAGTAACAAGAACACATGTCAAGTAGAATATAGTATATAGAATCAAAGAACTTGGAGCTTTAGTCCATAGAACTTAGCGGCATTTCTGGTTGTATCTGGCTGGATCGGGGGTCACTTTAGAGAGAGAGAGAGAGAGCTAGCGAAAGCATGTGTCCGGCAAGTTAAGTGAGTTGGCCAGTGACGGGGTCTCACTCCAGAATTCCCTTCTGAACAACTACTCCCAGGTATGTTCCCACTTGTATGCCTACCACTTGAATGGCTCCAAGTTGTTTGATTCTATATACTATATTCTACTTAACATGTGTTCTTGTTACTATGGATGCATTCTATCTTCAACAGTTAGAATGCGTGGCTCCGTCGGGGGAATCCCGGTCGATTTCTTCATCCCCGCGCGTCCCAGGCAGGCATTCTAACTTTCACTCCGTCGGTATACGTATATTAGTGTGGAAAGAAATACGAACAGTAAGACTGCAGTACTTCAAGGATTGAGGATGGAAAAATAGCAAGACTCCAGTACTTAGAGGATTGGGGCATGAGAGAGGTACGAAGAGGTCTTCGTACTTCCTGGATTGAAGATTGAAGATTCTACCGAGACTTTGGGTGGAATCTTCAATCTTCAATCCAGAAGGTGCGAAGACCTCTTCCTCCCTCTCTCTTGCCCAAATTTTCTAAGTCTGTGCAATTGCCAAACAGAACATAGAAGTAATCTCACCAAGTTCTTTTTAGATACTGTAGAAGTAATCTGAAAATGGCAGTTATAGAGAAGACTATTCAATATGTGAATTAGATAGAGGTAATTTCAAAATGTTAGCCAGTGAGAATTGAACTCAATATGTGAAATAGAAGTAATCTCAATATGCCAGCCAGTGCGAAAATAACTCAATGGGTGAATTAAATCAAAATACTAGTTAGTGAGATTGCAACTCTCTTCTTCTCGCCTTCTCTCCTCCTCCCTTCTCTCTTCTCTTCTTTTCTCTGAGAAGAGAATGGGAGGGAAAGGGCATGGAAGAGAAGAGAAGAGGAAGAAATGCTACTGAGATGTCATGCACACCAGTGAGCCCGTCAATTGTCAAGCTACTGTGTGATTGCCACAGTTGTAAAACATTCAACGCATAGAAATAAGCTGCACTCATCAACTCTCATATTGAAACTTGCAGTTGGTACAAGTCATAGTATGACTTGCGGTGATCACAAAATATTTTACATTGTAATGTCACACACGTAATTGTGTGAATTGTTGTGTTACTCTGTAATATTCACAGTTGTATATATAATATTCAAGTCAACACGTCAGGTGTACAGACCTAATGTAATAGTGTCAACTTATTAACTCACAACTCACATAGTCAGTTGACAATTAATCAACTTCACAGTTTACAATTGCATTAAATACAACTAACAGTGTGAGTTGCAGCAATATATAATCTTGTAAGTTGTCATAAACACAAGTGAGCTTGTCAATTGTAATGTTTGTCTGTGTGATTGTCACAATTGTCAATAACCAATTCATATATTGAGTGTTTCAACTTCAATGTGAAAGCTGCAGTGGTTATTATTGTTTGTTAGCTCCACAATTGATGTTGTAAGATGATATTTCTTTGTGTGACTGTCACAAATGTAAAAATTGGATTCCTAATTTGCATTGTTTAAATGTAATGTCACAGTGGTTAAAAAAA